TCTGGCCTTTTTAGCTCTATTTTTGCTTTTTTTTGTGCTTTTTTTTGTCATTTTAAGCCTTGTTTTTTATTTTGTGGTGTATTTTTTGGGTTATTTTAAACCTTGTTTTTGCTTTTAAGTTGATATTTGGTCAATCTAGCCTTGGTTTTGTTTTTTATGTTGTATTTATGGTCATTTTTAGCCTTGTTTTTCCTTTTATTCTGGTGTATTAAAACACTCAGAGGAGTGAGGATCCGTCCCTCCTTCAGAGCTGCTGGTTTTCAGCCTCTTCCAGTCCAGTCGTAACTCTTTAACCCCCCCAGGATGTCCTCAGACTTCATTTAGTTTCTGATAGCTAAACGTTTTTGGCCACTCCAGTGAGACCAATGTTCCCGAACAAGAAAGAGCGGCTGCACGAGCAAAGTGTGAAAACCACCCCTCAAATTCCCCCTCAAACAGGAAACCAATGCGTTTTTTTTGTATGTTTTTTTTAGCTTAGCATCTGCGTGCGTCCTCTGGTTGTCGTTCTCTCATCTCCTTCCTTATTTTTTTCTGTTCTCCGCCCCTCCATCTCTCACAGAACCAGGCCAAGCTGTTCATAGAGCAGAAAAAAATCCCCTTTCCTGTAGAAAACCACAACACAAACGAAGAACTCGGTGAGTTAGCGTCCTGTTTTTCAACCTTCTTCTTTTCTTTTTTTTTTGCCTTCTCGTGTCTGTGGCTAACGCCCCTTTTTTCTGCCTTTTTGCAGCTATTTGTTACGTTCTCATAGGAAACGGCCTTTACGATGAAGCCATCAAGCACTTCTCCCTCCTATTGCAGGTGTGTTGGTCTGATGTTACACAGACAGGAAAAGCTATTTCCCAGTTTGTGTTTTTTAAGACCTTTGGTCTCTGGTTTAGAGTGACCCGGAGCTGATCAGCGCCATCTACGGACGGGGGATCGCTTACGGGAAGAAAAGTTTACAGGTGAGTGGAGGCTGTTAAATCACCACGTGTTTCAGGTGGTTTTTAAGGCAAGTTCGGTACCCGTTCCTGGGCTTTAATGAATATCCTGCACATCCCAAAGAGTCTCAGTGGGGTTCAGGTCTCCGGTCTCAAATCTCTGGTCTCTAGTCTCTGGTCTGTGGTCTCAGGTCTAAGGTCTAAGGTTTAAGGTCTAAGGTCTCTGGTCTCTGGTATCTGGTCTAAAAAAGAAAAAACAGAAATACATTTTTAATATTAATAATTTATTACTATGCGATAAGTCAAGATTATTTTTGTGTAGTCTTCTGCCCCCTGTTATCAGGTGTATCTGATTGCGTACAATAGGATTTTGAGCAAAGTTTTTACCATTAAATTATGCAAAAGGTGTCAGACGCAAAACATTTCAGAAACCTTATGAATCAAATATGATACATTTGGCATTACAGGGTTAAAGGGGCCAGCGAGGCGGGCCGATCAGAGCACAGGGGGACTTTAACTGGTGGAGAGGCTTTTCTGGCTCATGTCACACAGGAAATGAGGAACAGGAAGCGCATGAGCGGCTTGTTTAAAATAAATGCACATTATTTCTAACAAGATGCTCTGTTTGTCAGTTCTCTCAGTTTTTAACGTTTTACAAATTTACCTGGGGGGTTTTTTTTTTTTTTTTTTTAAAGTTTTCTATAAATAAACATGGTTTGGTAGAAGAAAAGGAGACATTGAATCTAAATAAACCATCAGAAATTATGCAAACTTTTAGTCTAAAGAAACCATCAGAAGTAGTTCAGATGGTCAAACGGCTTCTGAGCCAGTTCTGTATTTTCTTCGGGGAAAAAAGAAGTTTAGAGTGGTGAACACTCCTCAACCGATCTCCGGTTCAGGAGCTTCTGGTTTAGTTTGCCCTCAAAGCTCCACGTAAGCTAAAATCCTCTGCCCTGCTACCTTGTTTTTCTGGCAGGACATAAAGAACGCCGACCTGGCGCTTTACGAACTCAACCGGGTCATCACGCTGGAGCCCAACTGGCCAGAGGTCTACGAGCAGAGAGCCGAGGTGAGAACCCACGCCCCCTTCAGCTCTGAATTAGCAGCAAATGGAGTAATATAGCTAACTAGATCCTTAGTTTATTTAAAAGTTTCCCTTTTCTGTTTTTTGATCAAATCAGTTGATCTTATCGGCTGAGCTCAGAGGTTTGAGTTTGCAAATGGAGGAAAAGATCTGCTGTTTTCCCTTTGGATTGAGTGTAATAAGTTAGGAGGACTTTTGGGGAAAAAAGAGGAGACACAGCTGGATTTAATCACAAAAACGGGATCCACATTCACCCAAAAGTGCTTTAAAAAGCAGACTTTTCCATCATGGGTCAAACTTCTGCTGCATCCTTTAAAGGGCTTCAGAAATTTTAGCTGTAAATATAAAAATGAATTTAAACTGTTGGTGAAGTCATAATTTTTTTTTTTATCAGAAAGTAGTTTTTAATTTATTTAATTTAATTAATTTATTTATTTGTATTTCTTTTATTTCTTTTTTATTATTTTTTATTTTTTTTATCTTTTTACTTGTATTTTTTAAATTTAATATTTAAATTAAAAATGAAAACAGGAACTGTGAAAACAGCCACTAATGTAACTCTATTTTTTCTCCTTTTAAGGACTGCGAACAGTTTATTTGTTCCTCTTAAAACATAAAAATCTAACTAAAACCGATGAAAAGCACACAGCCCACAGCCCCGAGTGTTTAACATCCATTAATAGCAGGATGATAGAGTTTACTTCTTTTTCACACTTTTTTTTTCACAGGTTTCAGTTCTCAGTGGCTCCGGCATATCGAAGAATTAGAAAGCATGAACCCTCCCCCCGGTTTCCCTCTGAGGCTTTTTTTATTAGCCGTTTCCTCTTTCTGTGGCCGTTAAAGTTGCAGCTTTAATTTAACTCACATCTGAGTCACCAAGAAAAAAAAAAAAAGCTGCACAAAGAGGAGTTTTAATGGGATTCCTACTCGCTTTATCGGGGTTAGATCAGTCTTTTTATTTAGTTGTAATTATCCCGTCCACGCATGATATTTGCAAAGAAAAAAAGCACATGAAAGTACTCATTTTTCTCCACTTTGGGCTCAGATCCTGTCTCCTTTGGGCCGGATCAGCGAGGCTTTAAGTGACCTGACCAAAGCCATCCACCTGCAGCCCTCCGCCCGCCTGTACAGACACAGAGGGACTCTGCTCTTCATCTCAGAGGTGTGGCCTCCAAACGCCACCCATGTGTGCCAGCAGAGGGCCTTAATCCCCCCCCCACCACCCATGTTTGGTCCCTCTGTCCAGGACTATGTGGCGGCCATGGAGGACTTCCAGAGATCCCTGGAGCTGAAGAAGAACCAGCCTATTGCCATGCTCTACAAAGGCCTCACCTTCTTCCACCGGGGCATGCTAAAGGTTAGCCTCAGCTAGCTTTCTGTCAGCCTTTCTATGAGAATGTGGTGTTTTCTGAGATATCTGGATATGATCAGCTGCAGATATTTGCAAAAAACTGCGTATCGGCCGGCAGGAGAAAGTGCAGATCTAGACTCCAGATCCAGTTTTTTTTTTAAGTCCGATCCCACACGAGCATTAGCATTAGCATTAGCATCTCCCAACCCACAGGTCTGTGTCCTAACCATTAAGTTGTTATCAGAGTAAATCCCTGTTCAACATGAGTCTGACAACAAAGTAAGTAGATAAATAACTTTAGACTTTAACACATGCTCTGATATGTTTATAATGTGAATATAATCAGGGTTTGAGATTCCTGGGAATCTGGTGTTAGCCAGCAGGGCTAACAGCTCTGACCAAAAGCAGTAAATATTTTAAGTTTAGTCATCAAACATTGTGGATAAAAGTGAAAAATTCTCAAAAAGTGTCAAATTTGTCACAAATTCTCTTGTTGAATCTAAATACCATGTTTTTTAAAACAGGGTATTAAAAAAGGTCTTTTTTACAAATTTGGAAATGTAAATATTTGAAGTTTAGTGCTGAAACATTGTGGATAAAAATGCAGATCCAGACTCCAGATCCAGTTTTTTTTTTTCAAAAGTCCGATCCCACATTAGCATTAGCATCTGTAACCCACAGGTCTGTGTCCTAACCATTAAGTTGTTTTCAGAGTAAATCCCTGTTCAACATGAGTCTGACAACTAAGTAAGTAGATAAATAACTTTAGACTTTAACACATGCTCTGATAGGCCGGGATCGGGATCGGATCGAAAGTGAATAAAGCTGGATCGGGACATCCCTAATTACTGCTTCCTATCAGTGTGGAGGAGCTTTCTAGCAAATGAATGAATGAATGTTGTTACTGTCATTGCACAACGACTCAAGTAGGGATGTCCCGATCCAGCTTTTTTCAGCATGTGTTAAAGTTTAAAGTTCTTTATCTACTTACTTAGTTGTCAGACTCATGTTGAACAGGGATTTACTCTGATAACAACTTAATGGTTAGGACACAGACCTGTGGGTTACAGATGCTAATGCTAATGCTCGTGTGGGATCAGACTGGATCTGGAGTCAGGATCTGCATTTTTATCCACAATGTTTCAGCACTAAACTTCAAATATTTACATTTCCAAATTTGAAAAAAAAAGCCCTTTTTAAAAAAAAAAAACTGGATATTTAGATTCAACAAGAGAATTTGTGCCAAATTGGACACTTTTTTAGAATTTTTCACTTTTATCCACGATGTTTGATCACTAAACGTAAAATATTTACTGCTTTTGGTCAGAGCTGTTAGCCCTGTTGGCTAACACCAGATTCCCAGGAATCTCGAACCCTGATTATATTTGCATTATAAACGGAATCTGATCTCGCACGGAGTCCTGATCAGTGGAGCAGTTTGTTTATTCTAATGTCTGTCCCACTTTGCTGTTTGAACAGCAGGGGTCTGTTTGCTCTATTTAAAAATACGGATCGAACCCGGTTTTATATCCGCTGACTGGAGCCTCGGCCTGGTCTCACGTTCCTTCTTGCGGCTTCCTGTTTGCTCTGTCGTCACTCTGTTTTCTGTTTTTTGTCATCAGGAAGCCATTGAGACATTCAAAGAGGCCCTGAAGCTGAAGTCGGACTTTATAGACGCCTATAAGAGCCTCGGACAGGCCTACAGGTACGAACCCTGGTTCAGATTCAACACATCCACATCAGAATCAGAATCCGAATAAGGTTTATTGCCAAGTAGGTTTTTGACTTACAAGGAATTTGCCTTGGTGTTTGGTGCACAACACTTCTATGATAAGCAAAGAAATGCAATGTAGAAATAAAAATATAGAACAGAAAATATAAAACTAAAAAGTACAATCTTTAAAGATATAGATCTGAGAAGAGAAATATGGATGTAAGACTCAAAGATGCAATATTAGATACTGAATTACAAATATCATGTGAAGGAGCTGGAGTTCGTCCCTTTGACCTTTGACCTTTGACCTGAACTCGTTTCCGCTGGTCACAGAGAGTTGGGCGACTTTGAGTCTGCGATGGAGAGTTTCCAGAAGGCTCTAATGCTGAATCCCAACCACATCCAGTCCCTGCAGCTGCGCGGGATGATGCTGTACCACCACGGCTCCCTGCAGGAGGCCATAGGAAACTTCAAGGTAGAGACACACACACACACACACACACACACACTCACACACACTCACACACACACACACACACACACACACACACTGGTCAGCAGCCTGAACGTTCCTGTTCCCTTCCATCCAACATCTTCTGCCCTTTTCTTCAGAACCAGAAATACTTTAATAATCCCAGAGGGAAATTATTTTTGATACCAACTCCAGATATACAACAGCATATACCTATATACATGTCCATACATATATATATATATATATAGCGTCCCGCATAGAGTCAGACACCCCCCCGCTGTAAATTCTTACTAATTTATTGGCATTTTTTTATTTTTCTCGCACTGTCATTGTCACTTATTTTAGATCTGTATATATGCATATAGTTACATATGTATATATTTCTTTATATTTTGTGAGGAATGTATGTATATATATATATATATATATATATATATATGTGCTGTTGTATAGAGTTGGTAACAAAAACAATAATTGTTAAAGTATTTCTGATTCTGATAAACTCCAGAAATACAACAGCATATACATATATACCTATATATATATATATATAAAAATATATATCTATCACATTCCGCACAAAATATAAATAGACAGTATGTAACTATACATGTATAGCAGATCTAAAATAAGTGATAATGATAATGCCTTTCTAGTGTTTCTTACAGGTTTACACAATTTCCTAAAGTCTAAATAAAGATCTCTTTCATTTTTAGGCCAAAATCTGACGTCTAGCTTTGTTTCCTCGCCCTAAACTTAAACCCTGAGTCTTCAGTGAGAGCCCTCCCTGCTGTTTGTTGATGAGCAGATCTGTTTTTTCCCCTCTGTGCTCCAGAGGTGCCTGCAGCTGGAGCCCTACAACGAGGTGTGCCAGTACATGAAGGGCCTGAGCCACGTGGCCATGGGGCAGTTCTACGAGGGCATCAAGGCCCAGACCAAAGTGATGCTGAACGACCCGCTGCTGGGCCAGAAGGCCAGCCCCGAGTACCTCAAAGTCAAGTACCTCAGAGGTTGGTGCCTTCACACAGAAACCGTTTCAGAAGCTGCTCAGACTAGGGTTGTCACGATACTAAAATGTTCAACTGGATACCGATACTCAGGAAAATATTCCATTTTGGATACCACAAGGATAGAAACAAAGAACCCAAAATGTAACTGAATTTTGACAGGTTAGTGTCTTTGGTTTCAAACTGACCTGTTACTGATGTTATGGTGGCCAGCATTAATGACCCTGACCATAACCCTAACCTTAACCCTAACCCTAACCCTAACCCTAACCCTTCCCCTTCATAATTGTGATAGATAAATATTTTTTGGTTAAACTTGTTAAACCTAGAAACCTATTTAACATCCACTGTTTTAACATAATATTATGTATAGAGTTTAATTCAGTGTTTGCAAGATTCATTTTACTATTTTTAAATTAATGTCTATATTGCCATGAAGCAATTAGGATTTTCTTGCCTGGGATTTTCCTATTGGTGACCTAATCAAAATGGCCGACTTGGATGTGGGGGAGTTAGATATCCATCCTTGGCTTCCTGCAGACTTGATTAATGTTGGCGTGTTATAATTAGCTATTAGCCGCAGCTAACAATTCACGGCTAACGTCACATTAATGATCATAAACAACGCAAATAAATAAATCAGAGAGAAAATGAGTATCGTATCCGGATGCAACGTTTTAGTATCGATACTTTTGACAACCCTATGTCAGAAAGAGGAAAGCTCTGTTAGCTGTCTCTTTATTATAAATGTGAGGAAACAAGAGGTCCAATCAGGACATTAATAACTATAGAGTATCAGTATCTATTGTTCCTTTTTAAAGGATTTAACCACTTATGGAGGTCATTTTGTTCCAGAATGACTTGATTCTGCTCAAAAATAACCATTTCTGGTCATCTCACCTGGATCCTAAAACCCGTTTGGGCTCTCTCCACCAGAGTACTCTCGGTACCTGCACTCCCACCTGGACGTGCCCGTGGTGGAGTACAACGTGGACCAGGACCTACCGGGGAACTTTAAGAACCACTGGGCGAAGAACCTGCCTTTTCTCATAGAGGATTACGAGGAGCAGCCGGGTCTGCAGCCGCATATCAAGTAGGTTTACGAACATCTAACAGCAGCTTTCAGACTCCAAACAAGAGACGTTTTGCCCTATGAGATCAATCAATTTTCAAAATTTTACTTTTCAGATCAAATAAAAAGCACAAAATCTGAATTTACTTCTATTCTTCGTCTATCAGGTTCAAACTCAGCTTTGCGAAATTGAGCCTCAGGATGGTTCATTTTTCAGTTTCCACCAAAAACCTTTAGTCAGATTGAGATCTGGGCTTTTATCCAGCCTCATCCTCTCGTTTATTAGCCATCATCAGACCCATATCGGCAAAGATGGTGGAGCATTGTTTGTTTTCCTCTGGCAGTTAACATCATGTGTATTTTTTTAGACCTGGATCAGAGTCTGTACTATGTCCAGGCATCATGAGGTTTCTCCTCTTTCAAAGCCGGTTGTGTTGAAAGTACAGCTTCTTTCAGCCAGTTGCTCACAAACGCTGATCCATTTTTGCTTTTCAGTGTTTTCTGTCCACATCATTTGACTTTTTTGTTTCCCGTCTTTGTTTGAAACTTAACTCATTGACTGCCAGCCATTTTCAGAACAGAGAGTCCCATACTGCCAGAGTTTTTTTAGCATTTTGAATGATTTTTCAAGAGCCACAGAATAGTTTGTGCTATGACTATGTAAACACCGAACACACCAAAAGAAAGAGTAGACTCTCTTCTTTCATCAGGAACATTTTTTTGTTTCTACCTTATTCCGTTCTTCCTGGACTTGCGTCTCACCGGCGACATGTTCTCTCATAGTGAACCGTTAGCTTTTTCTTATTTGCCTACAGTCTATGCTCATCTCCCATCAAAAGTGGCACTGCCCCCTAGAGGGTCAATTTGTTACTACATACTCTGTCTAGAAGACGATATTTACGGACAAGCTTTAGCAGATCGTCCCCCAGCCACTTGCGTTGAAAAACATAGAAGAAGTCTATAGACGTCTTTGGCAGCCAATGAGTTAAGTGAATTAGTCTGAAATAGTGACCCGTCTCTTTCTGATTTTTATCCGCAGAGACGTGCTCCCTCAGAACTTCGACAGCTACAGCCCAGAGGTCCAGAAGCTGATCTGCAGCGCCGACCACCTGGGAGCCCTGATGCAGTACGACACCCCCGGCTTCCTACCCAACAGGAGGATCCACAGAGGTACCTAAAGTAGGGACGTCCCCATACAGCTTTTTCTACTTCCGATCCGATCCCGGCCTATCAGAGCATGTGTTAAAGTCTAAAGTTATTTATCTACTTACTTAGTTGTCAGACTCATGTTGAACAGGGATTTACTCTGATAACAACTTAATGGTTAGGACACAGACCTGTGGGTTAGCAGATGCTAATGCTAATGTTCATGTGGAAGCGGACTTTAAAAAAAAAACTGGATCCGGAGTCTGGATCTGCAAAAAGGTCTTATCAGATTTACTCTGATAAGAACTTTTTTTTCCTTTTTTTTTTTTTACCTTGTCCTGTTCAGCTTTATGGCAGCAGAACTGAAATCTGAGTACCAAAATTGCTTTGCATAGGGAGGCTTTGTTAGTGAAAAGCCCCCCTTAATTACCCAAAACTGCTTTTATTCTTTTTTGTTACCACACTTCCATGTGTCCAATAATGCCGAACCTGACAGAGAGAAGAAAGAAGAGCAGTGGAAAGGAGAGAGATCCTTTAGACAGAAAGAGAAAGGGAATAAAAAAAGAAAGAAAGACCACACAACTAGCTGCTATGTCTGTAAAAAGGACTGTTTTTTGTGGAAAATCTGGGTGGAGAACAACTTAATGGTTAGGACACAGACCTGTTGGTTAGCAGATGCTAATTCTAATGCTAACGGGTTGGATCTGGAGCCTGGATCTGCATTTTCTACTGCCGGCCAATCACAGTTTTTTGCAAATATCGGCAGCCGATCCGATCCAGATATCAGATCGGGACCGGCCTAGCCTAAAGCTCTCCTGAAGTTGCTCAAAGGCCGTAAAGCAACAACCTGTCTGTGGCCCCGCAGCCATGGGACTGGCCACGCTGGAGGTGATGCAGGCCATGCACCGGACGTGGAGCAACTCCAAAGTGCGGGTGAACGGAAAGACCCGGCAGATGCAGTGGAGGGACATGTTCGACATAGCCGTGAAGTGGAGGAGGTGAGAGGAGTACTAAACATCCACATAGAAGTTTGGCTTGGCTGCTAAAAAATAAGAAAACCTTTAAGATAAATTAAGCGGATCTCTAATCTCCAGGAAGTAACTTTAAAGGGGACATATTATGCAAAACCAAGTTTTTAATCATTTGATTATGTACATTTAGGACTGTGGAGAGCCTATCAGCAGGCAAAGTGTGAAAAAAAAAGACTCAGTCATGTTTTTGTGGGCCGCCTCAGTCTGAATCCAGGAGATAAATCAGGAGGTTTCAGGAGTGGGTAGTTTCTGACGTCATTAGCTCTAGCTCATTATAATATTATACATGCCACAGAATAGCATGTATCCATGCTATTCTGTGGCAGACGTCGTGGTAGCGTGAGCGTTAGCATGGTAGCGTTAGCATGGTAGCGTTAGCATGGTAGCGTTAGCGTGCCGACGTGGGCACACCTCCCTGAAGAAGTGGGTGGATTGCCTGTGTCTCATTTGCATTTAAAGAGACAGGCACTCCAAAGCGAGCGCTCTGAACGGGGCTGTTTTGGGTTAGGGTTAGGGTTAGGGTTAGGGTTAGGGTTAGGCAGGGGGACTGAACTGCTATTGGGCTTCATCATTATGGGATTTTGACCAAAGCTTGTCACAGACATTACATTAGGACACCAGGGAACTAGCTTAACTTGTTGAAATAGGGTATAATATGTCTCCTTTAAAAAGTTTTATCGAATCTCTGTTGAAAGACGAGAAAGCAGACTGACATTCAGCCATTCTCTCTCTGTGGTTTTCACTTCGAGAACAGCCTAAGAAGTTGAAATGTTCCCCAGAGAGCTGAATAGGTGTCGACTTAAAGCTGTCGGCTGTAGTTTCCCGGTCTCTCCGGTTTTTCCGCTAACGGGCCTAACAGGTTTTTACTCTGCCGGCAGGATCGCGGACCCGGACCAGCCGGTTCTGTGGTTGGACCAGATGCCGGCGAGAAGCCTCAGCAGAGGCTTCAACAACCACATCAACCTGATCAGGTGACCAGTTTCCCCCCCGAGGACGGAGTCTGCTTTCAGGCTTTTCTCCTCTTTGATCCGCCCGCCTGGTTTCTGAGGCTTGGGTTTCTGTAATTAACTTCAGAGTAGGGTCTGACCTGTGGAAAGCGCTGTGAGACAACTGTTGTTGTGATGTGGCGCTATATAAATGAAATTTAATTGAATTAATTTTAATTTTGTAATGTCATTGTCTGAACGTGTGTTTGGACTGATTTTGTATTTTGTGATTTTGTGTTGTTTGGTCTTCCTGCCTCAGGACGACAGATGTAAACTAGCAACTATGCTAGAATCTGGCTCATTTACAATCTGTATGAGATTGTTCATTAATGTGCACTGTCCTGATTAAATAAATAAATAAATAAATACAAACTTCCCTTTGAGAACTTCTGAGGCAGCGTTCAAAAACCCGTTTGCTTTTGTTCCTCTGTCTCCCCAGGGGGCAGATTATCAACATCAGATACCTGACCTACTTCGACAACATCCTAGACTTCATCAAAGACAGAATACTGGTTTACCACGGGTAACCGCCACCAGCTTTTAATGGATTAATCACTGTTGCAGCTTAACGGATTTTATGACCAATGATTTTGTTTTTACAATCATTTTTTTGCACGATTAAAATCTTGGTTTGCTTTTTTGTTCAGAAAAATGAAAAAAATAAAATAAATAAAAATAAAAATAATAAAAGAATATAATACAAATAATAATAAATATTATTCTATATAATAGAAATAATAAAAAAATAAAATAAAAATAAGGAAGTTATTCTTATCTCAGCGATTTATTCCTGTTAAACCAAGTAAACTGATAAAATGTGGCTCTTTTTTTTACCTTGATTTTCGCTATATCTACTCTGATTCTTATCTTTTGGTGTGTAAATGTTGTTGAGACACTCGATCCATCAGCATTCTTTCCTAAATCATCGACTCCCGCTTTCTAACTTAAACTCTGTTCTTATTTCCCTTTTCTGTCTCAGGGCCTACAACCCCCGGGGGCTCTTGGAGGTCCGCCAGGCCCTTGAAAATGTGAATAAAGTAGAAGATTTGCTCCCCATAATGAAGGTAAGAGAGCAAATCAGAGGCTAGAAAGCAGCTTTTTTTCTTTTGTTGGCGTTCAGCCGTGAGATGGCGGGACGGGGCGGGGGTCCGTCTGTTTGTTTCCTGAAGCAGTTCAACAGTAAAACCAGGGACGGCTTCACGGTCAACTCCAAGGTGCCCAGCACCAGGGACCCCGGGAAGGAGTACGACGGCTTCACCATCACCATCACAGGAGACAGGTACCAGCCCCCCCCCCATTTCCTGGTTCACCACTCTGGGTCTGGGTTAGCCTTACCCACTCCTATCTCTGCGTTTCAGGGTGGGGAACATGCTGTTCTCCGTGGAGACGCAGACCACGGAGGAGCGGACGCAGCAGTACCAGTCGGAGATCGAGTCCATCTACAAAGACCTCACGGCCAAGGGGAAGGCCCTGATGCTGTCCACAGAGCTGGGGGTACGACCGGGAAAAGGACAGAGACTAGGCCGGTCCCGATCCCATATCTGGATCCGATCGGACCGCCGATATTTACAAAAAAACTACGTATCGGAGAAAATTATCCAGACTCCAGATCCAGTTTTTTTAAGTCTGATCCCACACGAGCATTAGCATGAGCATCTGTGGGTCAGGAGATGCTAATGCTAATGCTTAAGGGTGTGCTGGAAAATTACAGGATATCACAGAACACAGCAAAGTGGAATGTAAATATTTGAAGTTTAGTGCTGAAACATTGTGGATAAAAATGCAGATCCAGACTCCAGATCCAGTTTTTTTAAAAGTCTGATCCCACATTAGCATTAGCATTAGGCATTATCCGAACAGGATCTAAGCAGGACTCTGAGCCTCTGTGTGCTTTCAGGACTCGGACGCGGTGTGCAACCTGATCCTGTCCCTGGTTTATTACTTCTGCAACCTCATGCCTCTGTCCAGGGGATCCAGGTAAGCCGGACCGGGGAGGGTTAGGGCGGGAAACCTCTCCCAGTCGAGCCAAATCAGTCAGATCTGAGCACCACTTTTTTCTTTTTTTTGTAACTTTTTTTTTCTTTGTTAACAATTACAAGGTGTGAAAAGAAACAAAATCAAACAAACAGGCACACAACATAAACAAAACTAAAAACTGTCCAGATTGGGATCTCCCCATATGTTCAATTAGTCACTAAGTAATCCACTTTGTCCATTTTCCCACTCAGGAGTCTTATTCTGTGGGTCAAGTCTTCCAAGACATAAATGTCCTTAACAATTTCCAGACAGTCCTCTTTGTCAGTTGGGTCTTCTTTGTACTATTTTTAGGTACCGGTAATTGTTTTTTTTACTGGCAGCGATCACGATCTTAAACAGGTCAGATTTACACAAAATATTTCCTGGGACATTTCCAAGATACAACACTGTGAATGTTTTGGGGTATTTGGTATCCAAATATGGCAACAATTTTCAATTGTACAATGCACATAATCCCAGAATGTAACCAAACCAGGGCAAAGCCAGAAAACATGAGCACGGTTCACACTCGTCTCCCCACATTTTCGCCATTTTCGGGTTGTGGGGGGGATTTATATTTGCTTCTCGGTTTGGGTGTGATAAAGAAACGTGAGCAGGACTTAGTTGGGGGTTTATTCAGCCACTGACCCTGGATCTGCCCCCCCTCAGCGTGGTGGCCTACTCCGTGGTCATGGGGGCGCTGATGGCCAGCGGGAAGGAGGTCATCGGGAGGATCCCCAAAGGAAAGGTGTGTGGGCTGTTTATGGTCATTTTCAGTGGATTTGAGCTTATTTTTTGGAAAAGATCAGCATGATCATAGGGTTAAAAAGCTGGGATTTTGCAGCATCCCCCCTTCTTTTAACATCTGTCTGTAAACATCTGGAGCTGAGGAGGACCAGTGGTTAGGGGTTTGTCACGATACTCAAAGTTTCCACTGGATACCGATACTCAGGAAAATATTCGATACCATTTTCGATACCACAAGGATAAAAACAAAGACCCCAAAATTTAACGGAATTTTGACAGCTTAGTGTCTTTGGTTTCAAACTGACCTGTTACTGATGTTATGGTGGCCCTAACTTAACCCTAACCCACCCTTCCTAATTGTGAGAAATAAATATTTTTTGGTTACTGAAGTATTTCTTTATTCCTTTTATTTACATTACGCAGCATCTCATCTCTTTTTAACTTTTTTTTGTTTTTTGCTGTTTTTTTTTTTCAAACTTTATTTGCTTTAGAAAGAAAAAAACATTTCCCCATTTTTTTCAGTTTCCTGAAGTCGTGCTGTCCCATCAGGCAGGCAGTCATTCAAATAAGACAACATTTTCCCTAAAAATAATTCATTCTGAAGGAAAATTCCAACACTTTTCAAATATTTGCCACTTTTTGTCCTCGTTCTGTCAAAGAAATTCGTAAATTTTTGGCCTCAGATTTCTTTGCAGCACCTTATGAATATATACGATTTACCCAAATTCAACTTAATTAAATATTTGCCAAATTCTATCATTTTTTAATGAGTGAATGATGTTGACAATGGCAGAAAGTTGCCTTTGTATCATTTCTGTTTCATAAACTTTAAGGTTTATTATTATTCCCTGAGAGGTTTTTGTTTCAGAGGAATTGAATTCTTGTATTTTTAGTCACTGATTTTGTCTCAGAGGAATTGAATTCTTATATTTTTAGTCACTGATTTTGTTTCAGAGGAATTTAATTCTTATATTTTTAGTCACTGATTTTGTCTCAGAGGAATTTAATTCTTATATTTTTAGTCACTGATTTTGTCTCAGAGGAATTGAATTCTTATATTTTTAGTCACTGATTTTGTCTCAGAGGATTTGAATTCTTATATTTTTAGTCACTGATTTTGTTTCAGAGGAATTGAATTCTTATATTTTTAGTCACTGATTTGGTCTCAGAGGAATTGAATTCTTATATTTTTAGTCACAGATTTGTCTCGTTTCCTTTCAGCTGGTGGACTTTGAGGCCATGACGGCTCCCAGTCCGGACAGCTTCAGTAAAACAGCAAAGAGCTGGATGAACCTCAAAAGGTTTGACGGGCTGAACGCTTCTTTTCCGAGTGTCCATTTTGCCTTTCTCATCCTCTTCTTCCTCCTCCTCCTCTTCCTCCCAGTTTACCCAGTTGGTACCAGAGTCTACCATCGGTGGCGGAGACGTTCCCGTCCATCCGGACCATGATCGAGGTCCTCAACACAGACTCGTCCTCACACTGTCCGAAGAAGTCTTAACGAGGAATCCAGAGTGTAGTTCCATAAAGGACTTAATTTAAAACCTCAAACCACACCGTAAAACTCTTAGGTTGTTTAACCAGAAGTGAAACTTTGATTTGGTCGAACAAAAAAGCTCCATTAAGATCTCATTTGCTCTTTCATTTCCCTCCCCCAAAACTCTCTTTTGGGTGTAAAATCTGGGGAGTTTTTATCTGATACCAGAGTCCAGCCTATCAGCAGATGGGAAAAAAAGCTTCAGGGCCCTCAGATTCCACTTTTGATACTTGAAATAGTCTTTTTTGTTTCATTTTCTCGTCACTTTTCGGAGTGTTGAGAGCTTCTGTCAGAGATTTTAGGAGGACCCCTGCCAGCTGCTTCTTAATTTTAATAATCTGCTCTTATTTTAATTAAAGCCGTGTGGCTTTTCCCACGTTTTTATTGATTTTAATCAGTTTATGAAGACATTTTGGGCAAAACAAAACCATTTTTAAATTCTTTAACGGGTTGTTTTATGTTTCCTTTGACACAGAAAAGGACAAAAATATTCAAATACTCCAACGCTCTGCTCTCTGTGGGGTCAAAATGTCCATTTTAGAGTTCATCTAAAGGAAAATCTGAGTTATTTTATTGGACGTCACAGAGAAAATCTCCTCTCAAAGTCTCTGACTGATAGATTCTGGCACATTCTTCCAACTCCTGGTTGTTTTCTTTGGGACGAGCAGACTAGCTCTCGGACATCTGGAGAAAATCTTTATTTTTTTTATCTTGATCAGTTTGAGGTCTCAGACATCGTCCTAGTCTTCCTGGTAAATTGGGGCCGTTCGACTGGACTAGGCCTAAGCACAAAGGGACGTTTTCTGAAAGTATCCGATGGTTTTTAGGCCTTTACTGGCCACAGAGATCCAGTTTGAGTATCTCTAGATCTATCGTTTCCCCTCCTTATCAGAAACATTAGGCCAAACTCTCCTTAGAGCTGTGCTTAATTTATTTCCTGCATCCCTTTCTGTTTGTTTCTTTTCTTCTGACCGGTTTCGACCCCGGTCTCTTCTGGGTCATCAGAGCGAGGGGAGCTCAGCATTCTTACATCTAAAAACTTGAAAGAGGGACATTTTCTACCGAGTGAATGTTCGAGGGTTAATAAAACTGGGTGATAATTTAAACTGGCTCTGGTGTGGTTGTTTTTATTTTCCATTAAAAAAAACATTAAAGGAGCAGCAAGGGTTGCCTTCATGGTCACAAAGTTCCCGTAAGAGGAATTAGGAGGATCATATCTAGCTGTTGGGGTCCAGCTGTTCTCATTAGAGATTAAAGATCCAGCTGCTCAAACTTCCTGATAACCACCCAATCAGAAACAGAATCAGAAATACTTTAATAATCCCAGAGGGAAATGATTTTTGTTTCTAACTCCAGAAATTAAACAACAGCAAGTACATGTATATACATATATATAGTTACTTATCTATATATTTATTTA